TTTTAGAAATATTATCTTTTTCCTTCTATTGCTATTCGTAATGTTAATGGCATTATAATAAAAATAAAATTGTCTGTTTTGACATTTCCCCTGAAAACTCAAGGAAAAGAGGAAATCAGGTGAAGTCATGGGACCTACTACTCAATTCTTGGTGACTGAACACTTGTGGAGCCATCTATGTGTAGACATTTTGCAAAAGAAAACAGGTGAACATTATATTTTCCCGGAAGTATGGGGATAGGCTGATGGGTCTCTGTGAAGCAGTGATATTGACAGATATTTATAACAAAATAACCAAGGAACGGATAATTAAGAAACAAGAGCTATTTTAAGTACCTACAACAATTACAAGAACAATTTGAAAATACCATACAAAATACATTTCAATTAAATCAGATTTATCAAAAAATAGATCAGGTACTTTCTTTTATAAAACGACTACTTTGAAGATACCGGTAGCTAAAATTAAATCAGGTATGTTTATATATTTTCTTAATGGCATAATAAGGAACTTTTTGATAAAACCTCATATCTATACAAATTATCTAATGAATGACAAAAGCATGGTCTTTATTCTTTATGAAAATATGTTCTAACATGCAATAAAACTGACCGAACCATGCAATCTATGATTAACTGAGAAACTACCATAAGAAGACTTGCTAATGATAAAATAAAACTATTGCCCCTCATAGCATCATAAGGCAACATGTTAGCTTTCCACTGTGTTACCAAAGATAAATGTCAAAATCCAAGCAATGAATATTAACTATCCAGCATCATATTTCCAAATAACTGGAAAAAGCACAAACAAAACTGATATAAAACATTCCTATCTGGTCTTATTTGCAGGTGGAAGGACATCCATACCTCTTCCCCCTCCTGTTTTTCACCAAGCATGTCTTGCTTAAGGTCATTCTGCTTCACTTTAAAAAAATTGTGTGCAGATAAACCACTCTACAACCAATCACCAGTACAGATCATTTATTTCTCGGTGCAAATAGCTACTAATTATCTTATCCAATGAATGGGTACTACTGCCAGACAGGGTACATGACAGTCTCAGTCCCTCACCTCAAAGTAAGGGGCAAACTGCTTTTCCTGGTTGTTACGCACAGCCCTTGGAATCACCCAGGTTCCGTCGTTGTAAAAGAGTCCAGACTTGCCCGCATTATTAGTGGGTTTGGGAGAGGAGGCCGTCGGTTCAGGAGATGGAGTTTTGGTACCTTGCCTTGGGTTGTGTTGTCTCGCAGGGAGGTTGTTTGCCTTGGTATTAGGGTCATTAGGCTTTGGGTTTGGATTAGATGAATTGGCAGATGATGGATTTGTTCTTTGCTGTGTGTAATTTTGTCTTAGTGATGTGTTGGCATGCCGGGATGTGCCAAAGTTAGGACCAGGATAAGGCTTGAAAGGCTCTTGCCAGGACTGCTCTATCTTTTTGGTAAAAGAAGCATTGCGTGCACCTGATGGAGGTACCCAAGCAGATGGCCTTTTGGGGTGACGTGCCGGCTGTGAAGGAGGGGAGAGGTTTACAAAAAAAGCCATAAAATGACAAATCAAAAGGGAATATTTCATTAACTAAAAAAAAAAGAGGCTTTGTGATGAAGCATGCACAAAGGATTCTAAATATCTTACTAATGATTACTCTTAAATTATAATATGATAGAAACACATTAAAACAATAAAATATGAGTCATGATAAATACAACATAAAAACAAAACACTGGAAATCACAAAAACAATACTATTTGATCTCAATTTAGCTAAATAAAAGTGTGTGCATGACAGGACAGATATAGGGAAAAAAGGAAAAACATTGTATTCACAACAAAAAAGAAATTAACATACTAATCATCGCTGAATGAAAAAACAAACAGTCCACCAGAGCTTCATAGCACACCTACATAACAAGTGACTATAAAATCATTTGCAGAATATAAGCAAACAGAAGCATGAATGGCCTAACACTGAATAATGAATCATCTTTGCTCATTGCACCTCCCTAATTTAATGCAACAGTCATAGCACACCTCACAGACAAAAAATAACAACAAATACACAACAATTCAAAATGACAGGATGCAAGCGTAACCCTAATCCATACATTCTTCCTTGTTAATAGATTCACACCTTGACCAATCCTTTCCAATTTATCTCTCCTGAAATAATACCATCCTAGGTTACCTCTCTGGCTCTGATTCTCGTCTAATTCAGACACTGACATGAAGAGGACTTAGTCATTTAGGAGTAAATTACTAGGTCTATGTTATCAGATGGGCCTAGTAATGGAATCGTTGGTAACTAAGCATTTGTGAGCCAGGTATGTGTAAACAATATTGAGAAAAAAGCTAGTGTACAGTGGACAGTGCATGTATTTGGCACCATTGGGTTTATTCCCTTTACCTGGAGTATCTTTTCTCAGTTCCCTAGGTCCATAAATTAAAATGTATATAACAGTGGTTCATAACCTTTTAACTACCTCCCCCCATTAAGGAATTTGTTCTTCCCTCCATGTTCCCTTGCTTCAGAAAAATAAAATTCCCTCCCAGATTTTAAAGAAAACTATCAGATAATTAAAGAAATTGCTGCCTTTTTTCCATTGGCTCATGTCCCCTTTGGAAAATACTGAGGCCCCCTTAGGGGGGTGGCCCTCAGGTTAAGAACCATTGGTACATAGTAATAATTTTTTTTTTTTAATTCAAATTTTCTTCCCTGGTTATCTCTAAATTTAATTTTCCATAATTCTAATGTTCATTATAAAAAATGTCTCCTTGCTACCTACAGTTTTTATTTTAAATATCAATGAAAGTAAAAGAAATCACTATTCATAAACTGAAATGGTATAAATTATCAAACTGTACAGTGCTCATTATATCACATTCTCCTTATAAGCTAGATCAGTCAAGTTCAATTTCTCTGATTCTTTATCTGATGCACTTCTATCTTTCTATCTCTACAACACTTGGGCCTTTAACATTTGCAAATCTGATTATTTGTGCACTTGGCCTAATCACATATCAAGATGTACAAATACAGTAAGAAATCAAAAGATGCCGTCACAAGAAATACAAAAAACACTATGAAGCACCAAAATAAACATACATGTAGAAACTAATAAATAAATAATGACACAATACAACAGAAAACATATACAACGGTTAACTATATATATCGGTCTATTATTTATCAAGTGCACAAGTTTTAAAAACTTAAGTTAAAGCCCTGAATGTAGGTATCCTGATCTATCCCTTTCCTGAACAAGCTGGGGTAGCGTCAGTTCTATAAGACTGCATCGCTATATCACTTGAGATTTACATCATTTTTCACTGTCACACTGATTGTCACTTATGATCCATACAAATATGATCAGAAGCAAGGTAGGCTACTTATGTAAAAGGGTCTTGGAAATGAAGTAACTACCACTGCTCATCTATCCAAAGATTTCCTAAGCATCTATATAAAAATACCTAATTCTTGAAAGATTTGAGAATGCCCCTTTTGTCAGCTCAGTTCTACCTCTTTCTCAGCCACACTTATTCCCTATACATTTCCTTCCCGTTTCCCCATATCCTTCCTCCTCTTAGCTATAATCTTTTCTGATCTATTACATTCTCAAATAACTACTCTACCAAACTATTATACTCAATACTGCCCCCTCTGTGCACTTCCCATTCATTCACATTGTCCAACAAATTCCTTCAACATATCCAACAATCACAGTCTCAAATAAAAACAGAGCTTCTGGGAGTATGCAGGCAAAACAGATTTCAAAAGAGTGTTGCTAACTGTAATGGAAACCACAGCATAAAACAAATACATTCTTTGAGAGCTTCAAAGCCCTTCTTTTATAGAGCATTATGGTCATAATCAAACAATGATTGGGTTTAACTGACATCATGAAACAACGACAAAAACTAATTCACAAACACAAAAAAAAAACTAAATAATAATAATAATAAAAAAAAAAATACTCTGTACACAGCCAAATGAGTATCATATAAACAACTATTTTGGTCAGAGTAAACAATGCATTCACAAACCACACAGGAATCCCCATGCTAAACAAGTAAATGCACTCACAGTCAAGACAACCATGCCCCAATACGAAACTCATGAGGTCTGGCTTACCCTCTGTCGGACCTTTGGCTGTTTTTTGGTGGTCTTCTGCCTGTCAACCATCTGTCCAATGTGGTCTGCTGCCCCTGCTTTCCTTACCAATGAGGCAAAGAGCTGGCCACCACGATTTCTGAGCTGGATAACCTGTTGCAAATGGATGTAATTTACAGTATTTCCCAGCAAATATTCATAGAAATGCACAGTGGAATGCTTGCTAGAATTCTTAAAATTCTAAGTCTATTGTTAATCATTCATGTGCAAGTAAAGGTAATATAAATTATTACTAAGCACATACTAATGGAAAAATATGAAAGTAAAAAATTATACTACAACTAATTTTAACACCTAAAGGATGTCTTGTCCGATATCATGGCACTCCTGGGTGAGGAAACTGGCGCATTGTACTAATATTCCTACAAGATGCATCAGATTGCATGATGGTGCATCCTTTAAAGGTTCACAATAATCATGATCATCCTAAGCTACAAAACAAATCATGATCACTGTAAGCCACAAAAACAAAATGGAAGTCAAAAATTCAAAACTAAATACACTTCACTTATCATAAGCCTATAGAAGTCTTGCATACCAGTATTCAAAACTGCCACTAAAACAAAAACATATTCCAAACATTAAAAAACTCCTTTTTTTAACATGAGTGCAAACAAAAGATTATATACAAGATGTCACTGAGAGAACAAAATAATATAACCTAATACTCCATGGACTTCCTGACAATAGAAGCAAAACTATTGGCTGCATCAAACACTTCAGCTAACCAACTTTAAAATGGCATGTATAATCATGGTCTTCGACAACAGATATAAAAAAACAGGAATATTTTAATAAACACAAGAATTGTGTAATGGGTTTCTACACATAATTAGTCTATTCACTAATTCATATTTAGACCACAATCCTTAATAACCACTTCATATATTATCTATTGTCTGAATATGTTTGTGTGAAAGCCAGTGTATATGCACATGTAAGTGTGCATGTACATGTGCATGGATGTGGTGCACGGATGTGGTGTATGGATGTATGCATGTATGTGTGCAGGTATGTGTGCATGTACATGTGGGTACATGTGCATGTGTGTGTAAAGCACAAACAAAGTATTTATGGCATTCATGCATTAGAGATGGTATATATATCATAAACACATCTGATGGAGAAAGAACATTTATGGTCCAGAAAATAAATCAAGCCAAAATCTCTCTCTCTCTTTACACAATTCTGGGTGTATCAGGAAACTTGTCAGGAATATCCAACATCATCAAAAGAAAAATGTGTTTGAGGTAACAGACTCGTGGTTTTCCTCAAACAAAACTGAAGCAGCTTCATAGCGTGCATTTCCTACCAACCTCAGGCACTGACTGCAAGAAGCTGGCTAGCGTTGCATGGTGCAGCTCTCTATAAGGTATTGGTTTGCCCTCCAACTCTCTGTAATCCTCTGTCAAAAGAGAGGTTATTTCTTTATTGGAGAAAAATACAAAAAAAAAAAAAATCTGCCAAATTTTCTACTATAAAAACTTTACTGTTCAAACACCGTAGCTCTGAAAGAGGAATGGCACTTTTAAATGGTAATCATATTTTACTTCTTCAATGTAAAAAGATAAAAAGAACGATATATCTGCATTACATATACCTTCAAATCATTTGTCTCTTAAAACCACCCAGTAATATCCAAGGGCGGTATTCACGATGCCTTATAGAATATTCTTTGATAAAATTTGAGGCCATGTCATAAAAACAGACTTTGACACCAAGATCATCATAGCATTTGTCTATGACTCATTTTAAAATTTGTCTTTAGCAATTTAGTTTAACTTGGACTATTGCCACATTTCATACTTGAACACTAACTAGAACTAATATTTACATCTCAAAAGACCCTACAATTATAATCCATGGTGCACTGCACTATTTGTATTTATTGAAGAGAAAACTGCAGTAAACAAGGAGGAAATGGTCCAGTTAATATTTGACAATAAGTAAAATAGTTGCAAGAAAGTTTTTTTCAGATTATTACTAATGCAGTTATCTTCTGCAACTATAGAATTGCATTAATGTTGCTTGGATCTATGAAACTCAAATTAAAGACAGCCCTATGCACCTGTCTTAAACTTCAGCCGAGTCATGGACAAAAATCAGGAGATAAGGACATTCACACGGGGAGTTGGACAAAATTTCAATGTCAAAGATTTTTCTGTCAAAGACAATGTTCAATCTATGAAAACTGCCCCAATTCACTAAAATTCTTTGCTTTTAATCCTTTGAACAAGAGGTAATAAAGTGAGGTTAGAATTCTCAAATAATAGAAAAACAGTCTAATGGGCCTATAATCTCATGGGAAAAGGCAGGCTTCAGCTGCCCATCAAAGAGGCAGACAATCAGAATAAATAGCCTTTGATTACACAAGAATGGTTACTGAATTCTCAATACTGACATTAAAGAATTACATGGGCAAAAGTATAAAATGAATAAAAAACCCCACTAATATTTGTATTTTGTTTATCACATAGCTATCATGATGGCAGTCTTTCTCAGTGCTATCTATGGGTTTTGTTAACTGTGCTGAGTTGGAATAACAGGCAGACATTTGTGCCTACTTCAAATTGAATATTGCAGAATAAGAAGTTGCTATAAATATGTTCTATTTCAAACAAATATTCCTTATCTAATATAATGATAAGTGCAATATACTACTCTTTTTCAGGACTGATCAGCTCAGGTCATGCTATTTCTTATAAACAATAATATCCCAATGCTAACAATGATCAATGATATCTCATGAAATTCTACAAACCTAAAAGGCTGAAGTTAGAAAGAAAGTTAACAACTGTTATGAACAACTGCTTAACAGATTTATCTTGAACTTTCGACCTTTCCATAAAACAAAAAGTTGATTACAAGCATGTCAATACAATATCAGAATTTACTGATCTATACATAAAAATGTTAGCTACCCTTTTCTGAAAATAGCAAAATAATAATACTGGCTAATTCTTCAAATTAAAATTAGAATGATTACAGAAAATAAAATGTCCACCGCTGTAAGGAGCCTAGTCAAAATCCAATCTAGACACATGGGACCATTCTTTTAACTAAGGTATTTTAGTTCCAATTATGACAAGCTTAAAAAAAAAAAAAAAAAGGAAACTGTGGCTGTAGCAATTTGCATTAAGGCTTGCACTATTACGAAAATCACTAGAAAACAGAAACTACATCTGCATGGACCATGAAAGCATTTGTAAGACCAAACACAAAACACACACACAATGGCATTATCAACACGGCAAAAGTCCTCCGAGACTTACTGTGTAATGTTTCCATGGGTATTTCACCCTTGACAGAGTTCAGGCATGCTTTGATGGCACA